CTATGACTTTTTGGGGAGCTACTGCTACCATCTCAGCAATTTGTTACGCTACTGGCCAACACACCACCAAACCACCCCCCCCCCGCCCCCCTTACAGAAACACTTAACACAACAATGTCTTAAAGTACTTCAGTGTCCTTTATTTGGTAAGTTCTACACACAAATAGCACATCTAAAAATACATAAGTTTTATCATGACTACAAGTTTGACAGGTAGAGATTCTTTCCAAGAATAAAAGCTTGGATTTTGGCATGATGGACAGAGATAGTTATTCCCCACACAACCACACACTAAAATAATACATTGTCAAACATTCCTGTCATAAAAAAATCAAGTGTCATATGAATGATTAGTTTTCATGATCTCCACTTGCAGCATCCCTTGGTCCAGTCTGCAGGCAAATATTTTCTGAGATCCATGGCATTGCAACAAAATTAAAATGAATAAAACCCTCCAAGGAAAGCCAGCCGGGAGGTGTGTTAGGACTTGATCATTGTTTCTATAATAAGCTAGAAGACTGGCTTGAACAGCAGAACATTGATCATCAGACTCTTTCGGTACACAGACTGACATGTAAGTATGCAAAACTGACATGTCAATTACACATCATGTCATGCACAGTGCATAAACTGACATGTACAGTGCACAAACTGACATGTCAATTACACATCATGCCATGCACAGTACACAAAATATTCTTCCCATCACACCCAGCATTCAAATCATTTCCTGTTTAACCAAACGCTATATTTAGAGTTACCACTTGAGGAAGACATGCATGCATGGTAATCAATGGTCAACATTGCTCAACAGTTTTCGCACATGGTACACATCATTAAACAGTTTTTATAAGTGGACACATACTTGACATTCAGTTGTGACATGTACTTGACATTCAGGTGTGGATGCAATAATAATAAAACATTTAAAAAACTGGTTCTCAGGCTCAAAATAATGTGACCTTGACCCATTTACCCCTCAACACTTTCTTGATGACAAGGAATGGATTTCTGCACAATTTAAGTGATAATGATGACAGTTATTATCCTAAAGCTATAGGATGGGGGGGGGGGTTGGTCATCTAGGTCATGTGATGTCACAATTTTGATTACAATAAGTTGACACAACACATTAATTTTTTTTCAAAAAGTAAACCAACAGAGTTAATTTAAGACATTCCCAAGTCTGCAATGCCGACGGGCCATCGATAATTCTTTGGATACCCCTCAACACTTTCTTGATGACAAGGAATGGATTTCTGCACAATTTAAGTGATAATGATGACAGTTATTATCCTAAAGCTATAGGATGGGGGGGGGGGGTTGGTCATCTAGGTCATGTGATGTCACAATTTTGATTACAATAAGTTGACACAACACATTAATTTTTTTTCAAAAAGTAAACCAACAGAGTTAATTTGAGACATTCCCAAGTCTGCAATGCCGACGGGCCATCGATAATTCTTTGGAGACTTCCTGGAACAGCCAAGATGAAGATTTCTTACATACAAATATGTTGTCAGTTCATGAGAAAAGTTTGGTAGGTGGGTATTGGGTAACAGGCTGTCTGTTCGTCTCACAAGTGATATTCACAACTTTTCAATGCTTTAAGGGAAAAACTGATAATATAATGTAAAACACCTTTATAAACCTTGAACAGCAGAGTGTTACAAAGACATACAGATACCTTCAAAAAGACATTTACTTCCAGAGCTTGGGGCAACAAAAGTTAAAACAGACATTTAACAGTAAATTTATCCTGTGCCTAACAGATATTTAACAGTAAATATATCCAGTGCCTATCAGACATTTAACAGTAGATATATCCTGAGCCTACCAGATATTTAACAGTAAATATATCCTTTGCCTATCAGATATTTAACAGTAAATTTATCCTGTGCCTATCAGACATTAAACAG